TTGAAAAATGTCAGTGCCAATGTGATAGTTTAAAAATTATTTACTAGATTTCTTTCCTCTGCATTTTTATATGTAGAACCCTTCCTTCTTTTTATATGTTCTGTGTACGTTTTATTTCACTTTTTTTTTCTTTCTCTCTTCTCATTTCTGGTACTGTTAGGATCTTAGGATCACAGTTATTGCATAATAAAAAAAAAAAATTATTTACTAAATTTTTGTAGACAATGATTGGTTGATTCGTTGTTATACTTCTAGAATAATAAATATTTCAAAAGAATGGAATAGTTGACATATTGGAAAATGAAAACTGAATTTCTTATCTATTATTGTAGAATATAAAATTTGACGATTGCAAGGTTTTGTCCATGCGACTATTTGTCCCTACAACGTTTTGTCCTGCAACGTTTTGTCCCTACAACGTTTTGTCCTGCAACGTTTTGTCCTTGCAACGTTTTGTCCGTGCAACTATTTGTCCGCAACGTTTTGTCCGCAACGATTTGTCCGCAACAATATGTCCGCGGCTAATTTTCCTACAACGATTTGTCCTGCAACGAAATGTCCTTGCAACGATTTGTCTGCAACGATTTGTCCGCAACAATTTGTCCTGCAACGAAAAGTCCTAGAACCTCCAAAAGATCTCCTCTCTCGCGAGAAATTCATCTTCGAAGGAAATTTAGTAAAGCTTTTGCCAAATTTCGTTTCACATCTTTATAGAGAAAAGATGCTTTTGTAACGATTCTTACATCTATGCCATTTTTAACTCTTAATAAATGCGGAAACTTCGGATTTAAATCCGAGAGTTATGTGTACTTCAAAAAGTGAATCATACAAATCAATCATCCTAGACTATCTGAGTATCAAAATTATACTGTGAAATCTACCATTTAAAATGTTGATTTCTATTGCGCGTTGCCAAACCAAGAGGACATGGGACCGAATACAGCTCAAGTTTGAACTCTTTCCCTTGATTTACCCTAAGAAAGTCGTTTTTCCTATAACTTCATTTCTATTGGTCACTGCACAACTAATAGTATTTCGATGGAAGTGCAGTACACATTCGAGTTCTCCACATCTGAAAACCTCAAAGTATCATCAGTGTGACCGGAAGATAAAGCTCTATTTGTGGATCAATTAGATCATGGACCAAAATATAACCAAGTTCTCTTTAATTATCCTTGTCATTGGTAAGTCAACCTTCTTGTTTCTTTATGTTTTATATATAATTTTGTAGTTCTTGAAATTCTCTATCGAATGGTATATAACAGTTGGGGTTTTAATTGACTATGATAGGAAAAGTCTTTTACGAAAGTCGCGATGGGTCCATTTTTCCACAGAAAGCTATAGGGAAAAATGGGTATTTTTGCAATAACTCAGGAACGGCTCGGCCGGTCCTTCTCATCTTGGAACTCGACCGAGACATTGTCAAGACTAAGCTGTGTAGAAAGTTTCATCGCAATCTGACTCTGCTGTCAATAGTTATCATGTAAACAGCCAACCGGACGGACGGACACACTGACGATTCTATAGTGTACTCACTTTTTGAGTACACAAAAGTATGATTCAGTTCAAAACTAATATCAGATTCAGAATCAGCGTTAAAAACTGAGTCGGTTTATGTATTTTGTGAATAATTATGAGCAAAAAATGTTTTTCGAAAAATCCCCGTAACCCCCCTCAGGGATAGTCTGATCAAAAATCACAATTTTTTCGATAACTCAGCCATTTCTTGACGGATCCTTCTCATCTTCGAACTCGACCGAGATATTGTCAAGACTAAGCTGTGTAGAAAATTTCATCGCAATCTGACTCTTCTTTCGAAAGTTATCGTGTAAACGGCCGGACGGACGGCCGGACATACTGACCGAATTTAGTAGTGTACTCACTTTTTGAGTACACTAAAAAGATCTTTTAGATTCTTAAAATATTATTAGATAGGTTAGTAGTAAGCCTAAATTCTTCGCGCAGTTCTAAAATGAAAATATCTTTGAGGATGCTTTTCATGTGATTGTGAGAAAGCTTCTTTTCACAGAATATTATTAGAGCGGGCTAAAATACATCGAAAATTTGAATCAACAGATGGATGGTACAAAAAGTAGTTGCTTTTTTAACTTTCAAAAGAGTCACTATGCAGTGTTTCTCCTTAATGCTTCAGTTTCTTGTAGCATTTAGACAAAGTAGATCTTTCGTTATTGTTTGTATGCAGTTTTTTTGATATTTCATTACAAAAAGAAGCGTAATTGTATCAAGCCTGGTGATCACCAAGTTCATAAGATCGGTTCATTTCTTCGTGATCACTGGACTTGACATTTCTATGCTTGTTTTGATAGCGAAATCTCGAAAAAAATGCATATGAACGATAGCCCAAAGCTTGAGCAATCAAAATGCAAGAAACTGAAGCATAAAGAGAGATAGACTGCGTAATGACTCTTTTGGAAGTCAAAAAAGAACTGATTTTTGTATGTTAATCGAAAGTAATAATTTGGGACATTCCCCAGTCGAACATCTTTTAAGCAAGATTTTGAATAAAACAAAAAGCGGCATCATTAATTTATTAACATATTTTAAAATTCTTTAATTGTTTGGAATTACGCTCCAAAACTCAATCATATAAACTTGTTAATGGCATAAATGTTTAAAAAATTGAGAAATAGTAGGAACATCTGCGAGCCAATAGAATTAAAGCTACAAGGAACAAAGGGGAAAGAAAAAATTATTCAACAGAAAATTTATAAAGTAGTAACAAAGTAATTTTAAGATAAATATAGTGTGAATTCAAAAAATATTCGTCTTTTATAAGAAGACTGTTAATGTTTCGTTACTATGCACAATGTTTTATAATTACAATTTTTTAAAGCGAAGTTTTCTTGAAAAACAATAAAATAACAGACGTTTTAAATTTTAATCAAATACGATATTTAGATAAGCCCTTGAATTTCTTTCTTCCAATAGTAATTTTTTTAAGACAGTTGAGAAATAAAAAATGTGAAATTTATTTTTCTTTTTCTAGCTTTTTATATATAGTTGTTTAAACTATCGGATGAAGATTTCCAACATACATAAACATCAACTTAATGTTATCATTATCACTCGATACCTTTAAATAAAAACCAATGTAAATGATGATTCAGCATCACTGACAATAACTAGAAATAAACAAATTGATATCCTGAAAAGATTTGACCCTAACAGTAATAAAAGCAGATGATATCAATTTTTCTACACTATAGCTTTTCTCTATTTCAATTCGCATAAATAGACATATTTTTAAACTCTTAAAATAGCTCATATGAATTAAAAAATTTCTTGCATTTTTGCAGTTCGTGTTCTCTTGTAATACTTTTTGAGGGAAATTAACTTGCATTACATGTTCAGATGAATATTTTCCACTAGTGAGTATAACATTAAAAAGCAGTATTTGAACTGCAGATATTGGAAATCTTGATTATTAGAATGAAAGATGCAATTATTGTGACGATTTTTGATAGAAGGGATGTTAGTGCTGATGGTATTACACTTTATTCTATTCCTTCATATCATATATTCGCATCGTTTACATACAGAGCACACGTTTATATACGCAAGTAGAAGCAGAGAGGATGAAGAGAGAGGAGATAAGACCAAGGAGAGAGTCGATATAGGAGAACAATAGGATAAAGACAGAAGAATAGAAAAGTAAGGACAATGTATAATATACGAGTGAGTGATATTGGAAAGTTAAGTATCATGTATGAAATCCAATCAACCGAGATCGTTACAATTATCAGAAACAAAGATCAGTAAAAACTATCACAAACGATCAGGTGTAAAATTCAAGATATTGAATATCTGCACTCAAGGTCCTATAAATGTGTACGCAAGTTCTTACGAATTTGTACACAAGACCTAACTACAGATCTTGCTACAAGATAATCATATTATCTTATACCTAAATTTTCAAGATCTGTTCACATTTCTGTACCTTGTCTCTTCGCCAAGATCTTGCTTATAAGATGTTCGACTAGGGTAAGTAGTTTTTCTAGCAACTTCTGTGAAGAAATGAAAAAAAAAACATTTTTTTGAATACTTAAAAAATTGATTGAAAAAACTTCAGAAAACATGTAGGAAAATGCATAATATACAATTCGATGCATATTCGTCTCCACTTCCAAACCCTGAAAAGTCGCAGCTCCGTATCTTGTTTCTACTAAAAGTTATTCAAGGGTGTGTGGTTAGAGCTAGCTGTCGGATTTTCACTTCGCATACATCAGAGTGTATTTTCCTATGGACAACAAAAAAAAAACAGAAAAAGCATTTGATGAGGGATGTGCTTTCTTTGAAAACTTGACTTCACGCAAATTCATGTGTGACTTTTTCAATGTTTTACTTATCATAACACAAAAAGAGTAGATGCTATTGGCTTCAAACTTTCGTTCATTTCTTTCAATTCTCTTAAAATGACAAACGAAACGTATCCCTTTATGTTTTATGTATCAATAGAAGAAAGACTATTCCAGTCAAATGTCCTGTCATCTTGTAATTAGAATCAATTAGTCGAAGCAATAAAACAATATGCACTCATTATACATCATTCGAAACTTAAAATTTTTTCTCGTTGTCAACTGTTTAAGCCATTTCTGTGAATTTGCCGAACAAATCCGACCCATTCTTTTGAAAAAACTCTCGAAAATATGAAAATTTAGCTATATGACTAAAAAGAAAGCAGATTGTTAACTGAGAA